TAAACTAAGCCTTGTTTATTTTCTTGAGTTGCTGTAGGTAGTGGAAGTATAAACTAAGCCTTGTTTATTTTCTCGAGTTGCTGTAGGTAGTGGAAGTATAAACTAAGCCTTGTTTATTTTCTCGAGTTGCTGTAGGTAGTGGAAGTATAAACTAAGCCTTGTTTATTTTCTCGAGTTGCTGTAGGTAGTGGAAGTATAAAACTAAGCCTTGTTTAAAGATGTATTTATTTTTTATGCAGATCTCCTTTCTTAATGACTGTACTCTAGAAAAATCTTAACTGAACAAGTAGGAGGTTCTTGGACAGGATGGGGTGAAGCTAGAACTGCTTTATTGTCATCATCAAAACTAGATGACTTAGGATCAAAATGGAGAAGGACAGACAGTAAAGAGCCAATGAGTTTGTGTAATGTTGAGATGCCGGATGGTTGTAGATTGTGAAAGAATATCCCTTGCTCAGTGACCTGTCATTTTCAAGTTAGCTCTAATGTTTAAATGTATCGTTATATTTGTACAGTCTTCTCAGTAAGTCAGTTGTTGTGGCCAACCACACACCTTAAAATATTTAATTTAAATGGATTTCAGAAAGTTTTTCTTTCTTTTTTAGAAGTGCAGAAAAACCAAACAAGTAATTAATTAGCTTTAGTCATTCAGTTATTGAGAACAATGACCAATCAGTGTGATTTACTTATTGCTCATTTTACTTCATTCACACATTAAGTATTACTGTTTATTTATCTTGTGGAATGTGGTTTAAAGGATTGTAAAAATTAATATGAGAAGATATGGGGTGGTTTTCTTTTTTACACTTTTGTATTGGTTCTGCTTTTGCTGTTTAACAGCTGGGATCTGTATTTTTCTAGCAGTTAGACTCGCATCTGAACAGCACATCATTGATTGCAGATGAAGAATATCACGTATGGTGGTTTAGAAAAGATTAGTTTTATTTACTTCTCTAAAGTACAGCAAGTAACTGGGTTCCATCAACCTGCTTTGTAGTTCTAATTTTCTCAGAGATGAGGGTTAGGTTAAACTACCATCAGTGTTAAATGTAATACAGAATTTTAAGGTGGTTTCCATAATGAATTCTAACACTTTTACTTAGAAAATTGTTGTGAAATTTTGTGTGATCCCCTTATTCCTCCCTTAGTTTAGGAGGAGTTGTCATGGCAACAGATATAATGTGTATAATAATTAGTAAATAAACTGTACTAACTAAATTTTTTGTTTGTTTTATTATCAATCAGAAGTTTCACTTATCAAGATTTAACAATTAAACCTCTTACATAAATGCAAATAAGAAAATAAACTTTTTAAGCCAAATGACAGTGCATAATAAATAGTTGGCAAAGTGGCTATTAATGTATTAATTTTTATTCAAGTGACTTTCCTATCTCTACAAATATGTCCATTCTAAGAAAATAATTTCCTACACAATAATTAAAAAGTTCAGTCCTTATTTTTAATGTTAACATTATTTATTATTCTCCAAAACTGTACAGTACCTAATAATTTCATTTGTCAGAGAGTGCACTTGATTGTGAAGTAACAGAGCTGAAATTCAGAGTTTCAGGATGTAAAATGTGTAGATCAGTTTGTGCTTCAAATTATTTCAAACAAAAAAATTAAGACAGTATTATTATTATTAACTACCATGCATTTTAAAACTGTTAAAATCTGTACAAAAATTCTTGTTTTTTTTACTTTCAAATGTATTTGTTGGCTATGGACCATTGAGTTGCTATCATTAGCTATAAAACATTTTTTTAAGGATTCTGAATTAGTATTATTAACTATTAAACATTCTTAAAGTTATAAAAAATGTAAACATTTTCAATCATTATTAATAGCCTCTAAATATCTAGAATGATCTTTCTTTTGGGAAATTAGGTAATATTGAAATCACTTTCACTGTTAGGTTAGTAAAACTTTATACAGAAATTACCTTGACTGTTAAATAAGTAAAACTTTATACAGAAATTTTTCTGTATAAAGTTTTACTTATTTAACAGTCAAGGTAATTTCTGTATAAAGTTTTACTTATTTAACAGTCAAGGTGATTTCTGTATAAAGTTTTACTTATTTAACAGTCAAGGTTACAGAGTTCTGTATAGAGTTTTACTTACTTAACAGTCAAGGTGATTTCTGTACAAAGTTTTACTTATTTAACAGTCAATGTAATTTCTGTATAAAATTATTCTTACTTAACAGTCAAGGTAATTTCTGTATAAAATTATTCTTACTTAACAGTCAAGGTAATTTCTGTATAGAGTTTTACTTACTTAACAGTCAAGGTAATTTCTGTATAAAGTTTTACTTATTTAACAGTCAAGGTAATTTTAGTAACCTGTCTGGGTATAATATTAGAGCCATTTGTGTGAAACCTATACTTAGTAACCTGTCTGGGTTTAATATTAGAGCCATTTGTGTAAAACCTGTACTTAGTAACCTGTCTGGGTATAATATTAGAGCCATTTGTGTGAAACCTATACTTAGTAACCTGTCTGTATATAATATTATAGACATTTGTGTGAAACCTATACTTAGTAACCTGTCCGGGTTTAATATTAGAGCCATTTGTGTGAAATCTATACTTAGTAACCTGTCTGAGTTTAATATTAGAGATATTTGTGTGAAACCTATACATAGTAACCTGTCTGGGTCTAATATTAGAGACCATTTGTGTGAAACCTATACTTAGTAACCTGTCTGGGTCTAATATTAGAACCATTTGTGTGAAACCTATACTTAGTAACCTGTCTGGGTCTAATATTAGAA